AGGGGGGAGGGGGGGTTTGTCTAAACTTTCCTAAAGTGAAGTTTTGGATTTTGAATATCAATTCGGAGTCGGATTTGAGTAAAATTAGTATGGTTGGACTCGTAATTGAATGAGTTGTCAGATTTTGTGAGTTTTGTCAGGTTTCATGGTGAGGGCCCGGGTTTGAGTTTTTCGTTGACTTTGAGTAAATGTGTAAAGATTCAACCTTTATCGATTGGGTTTGCTTCCGATAGCATTATTTGATGATTTTGAGTTGCTTTTGGCTAGTTTCGAGCCATTCGGAGAATGATTTGGGCGGGATGCACTTTTAGTGTATCGATTTGGCTTGTTTGAGGTAAGTGTCTTGACTAACTTTGTTGGATGAATTTTTTCTACTAATTGCTATTATTTGCTATATGTGGGGGTGTTACATATGAGGCGACGAGCGTATATGCATGTGTCAGGGTTAATCATGCTCGGGGGATAAATTATACGATCAATTGTGCCTTGTAGAATTACGTGACCTTCTTATTTTATGTCTTACTTGACTTCTAGATTATCAAGAATATGAAATTAAATGCTAGAAATCAAGTTTTAGCTTATAATAACTTAATTAAAATTTGACGAATTTTGTGAGACTATTGATGTGTTTAATTCGGTCATCACTATGCTTAATCACTAATACATCGCTACGACTGTTATTCTTGAGCTATTAGATTCTATACTTGAGTTGAAGATTATTTTTGAGACTTGTTGAAATACTTGGACAATAAAGTCCTTGAGGTTTATTGAATTGTTATTGGCTTGAAAGTTGGGATTGATGTTCATTTGGAATATTCGTTTAATCACTCTCCTTGATGTTATTCATGCTTCCTACCTTACTTGTCATTGTTATACATATAATTGGTGAGGAAGAGTGTAAAGCATGGAGGGTGATGCCGTGCAAGTGCATATACATTATCATGTGAGGAAAAGTATAAAGCATGAAGGATGATGCCGTGCCATTTTAGTTATATTATCATGTGAGGATGAGAGTAAAAGCGCGAAGGGTGATGCTGTGCCATTTTATTTACATGATCATGATCTCATTTACATTATCATGTGAGGATGAGAGTAAAAGCACGAAGGGTGATGCCGAGCTATTTCATTTACATTATCATGTGAGGATGAGAGTAAAAGCACGAAGGGTGATGCCGAGCTATTTCATTTACATTATCATGTGAGGATGAGAGTAAGAGCACGAAGGGTGATGCCGTGCCATTTCATTTACATTATCATGTGTTCATGGCACGGAGGATTTTTTCATGCAGGAGAGGACGAGGGGCATGCATTATGTTGTGATATCTTTTCTTTGTGTATACATTCATGCCTTTACCTTGAGCTGATATTGTTGCACCTATGTTTTCTATGTGACTTGTCGTTGCTGTTATGTCTTTGTCCTCTATCTCAATTATTGTTGTGTTGTCCATGCCTTCCATCTGTTTAACTTGCAAATATCAGGTTTTTCTTCTTGTTGTTCATTCATGTCATTTCTCATTTGTTGCACTTTCGTATAAGCCTTCTACCATATTAGTTATTTATACCTTCTATTTGTTAGCTCATGAAGATCATGCTTTCCCTCTTGTTTGTTATATCCATATTTAGGCCTTCTACCATGTTAGTTAGTGAAATTTATTTTCTTCTTTCCTAATTGATGTCATTACTTTTATGCCTTCTACCTAGTCTATTACCGTTGTCCATATGTACTTCCGTGTTCGTTAATTGCTACCTGTGTATTTCCCTCTTAGTCATTACTGTTATTAGCATTCTTTCACCTGGTTGGCACTGTTATACGCATATTTAGTAAGGATAAGATAAGTGCACGAAGGGTGTTTCCGTGCCATTCGATTTGATATCTTGAGTACATTTCTCACACTATGAAAGTTATGGATTTACTATCGTGGTTTGTTGGTTATCGTTCTAAGAAAAGGATCGGTCATGATATTGAGGATATTAAATCGTGGTTTCTTGTAGTAATCATTTACTGCTTCGCATAATTGTTTCTTGTATTCTTTTCTGTTATGTTCTAGCATTGTTCTATAGCTAATCTACTGCACATATTATATAAATGAATATCTTTTAACTAAAATTCCTCGTCACTACTTAATCGAGGTTAGTCAAGATACTTATTGAGTACATGAGGTCGGTTGTATTCATACTGCACTTCTGCACCATGCGTGCAAATTTTTGGAGCTGGAGTCAATGTATATGGGGTGCTGGCATTGAAGATATACTTGCGTTCCGGTTATAGCTGCCACTTGTCCTTGGTAGCTTTAGATTTTGCTAATCTGTTTATATAAACTTCAAACAGATGATGTATTTATTTGTACTAGTTTTTGTAAATTCTAAGTTTTAGAAGCTCATGATTTGTATTACCGGTCCTTGGGTTATTTGTAAATTCTTATAAATCTCATTTGGATTGTATTGACTGTTAGTTGGCTTACCTAGCAGATCGAGTCAGGTGACATCACGACTAGTGAATTTTGGGTCATGACACGTTTAGAGCAAGATATCGCCTAAATTTAGAATCTATAACATATTCTTTGGACAAATGGGTAATTTATGCGTTTCCTCGTGACATACATTAAGAGCCTGTTTGGAAAGCCACCTACGAATTGGATTTGAGTATGATTGGGTGTAATTACACAGTTTGGCATGTTTGTTTGACCAAGTAATTACTTTGTCAGCAGGAATTGAATGTAATTGAAGGGGTGCAATCACACTCTCCAATTCTCAAGGGAGAGGTGAGAATTGGTGTAATTACATTGTGTAATTACAAGATTGCCTTTTAATTTCTTTCCCTTTTGTTTTTATTTTAATTTATCTTCTTTTTTTTGAAATTTCAAAATATTTTTTTGTACATTATTTGTTTTTTATTTCTCTACCTTTACTTTTTGTGTAACATGTAATTGTTAATATTTTATTATTTATATATTTATTTATTTATTTATTCTATTTTTTTGAAATGACACGTCCTAATATTAAAAATAATGAGTCATTAACAAACTTGACATATAATTGTTGAATGTGGTTATAAACTTATTAAATCAGTGATTAATAATTAAAAAATCAGTGATTAATGTTTGACACATATTGGTTTGTGTCTTTGTGATAATGCCAAGTCAATTGAAAAAGTGGCACTTGAAATAGTAATTTGTAAAACTTTCCCGTTAACTTCGAACCGGCGGGCACGTAACTGAATCCTCACTCGAGAAACCCTAGAATTTCCGTTTTCATTCTGGAATTTTCTGCCCTTGCCCGCTCGCCATTGCAGTCAAGCATTCAACAATTTACCGCGTGTCAAAAGTTTAGTTTAGAATTCTGGTGTAGTTCTAATCCCTTAAAATAACCCTTTCATTGAATTAACAGTTAGTTGAAAAAAAAAAATTAATTGTTGGGGTTTTATTTCATGTTTTACCAATGGATATGGACATATCACGTTGGATTTTGGAGTTTATTCTTTGGCAACCTCTCGAAGACACCATCTTTAACGCTCTAATTGGCGTTCTTCCTCTTCCTAACGAAGATTCTCGGCTCAAGAAGGCCCTAATCCTCCGAAAAATACAGTCCGAGATTTCGAATGGGTCCGTTTCTGAGAAAATCCTCGAATTTTTCGAGGTAATGGAAGAACTGTATACTCAAGAAGGAATTGAATCTTCAGAAGCAATGAAAGCCGCTTATTGTGCGGTGGCAGTGGATTGTACAGTGAGGTTTTTGAATAATAAAAGTGAAAAAGTGAATTACTTTGAAGCAGTAAAGAGGATATGGAAACAGAGGATCAATAAATTGGAGAAAGTGGAGAATGTGGGCGTGGTATCGGAAGAATTATGGAAGTGGAGGGATGAGATTGAAGCTGCGTTATGGGAAGACAGGCGTTGCCAAAATGTGATAATGCGGAGTAAAAGCATTTCAGCTGTTGTGGCAGTGAAGGTTTTTGTTAAAGAAGCTAAGGAGAGAATTGGGCCTCCTTTTCTCGAGGTTGTAGCGGAGACTTTGAGGCGCGATGATGCAGTGAAGGCTTATTTAGGTTTGGAAAACAAAGAAGAGCATGGTGAGAGGATAGAGAGTTTATCAATCGCGGGTCAGGACTTGACTTGTTGTAACCATGATAAAGGTAATCTTGACACTATGGATGTATATGGCAAATATGTTGGGGGTTGCTCTTCTAAAAAAGTGTTGGAGGTTGATATGTTACATTGTTTTATTACAGTATCTATGGACATGCATATATGTGTGTCTTAGGTTGTTATATGACTAAATGTTTCTGTACAGTATGACAACACCTACGCTTGGATTATAAACCAGTTGGGCTTGGTTATACGAATTTTCTATACACATTCTGCTTTGTTTGGGTCCATTTCGTTCAATTTGTCAGCAATATGATGCAAAAATACTTTGCCTGCCCACACCATATGTAATTTCCTGTACTTTGATTGCTGCTCTACTTCAGTGGGTGGTTGTAACTTCCAGATTCTGGTGTTAAAAGCTATGTTGCTCGGACTCTCCAAAAATTGTCGCCGGATGTGTGTCGGATCCTTCAAAAGTAGTGCATTTTTGGAGGATCGCACACGGGTGTGACAACAACTTTGGAGAGCCCCTGCTAAAAGGTTGAATTTTGTTGTATCTTAATTATTGTGTAGTCCATATGGTCACCCTTATGGAGGGAAAGACAATACAATTCTAAACATTTTGTATGTTGGACTTGGACATATATTAAATCAATTAGGTTATGTATCTACTCCTTGCAGAGGCAAACAAGAGAAATGCATTGCGTAAGCGCAAGCATGTTGCTTTCAAGCGCACAAGAGGAACAACACCAGCTGGAGTTTGCAAAGGTGTCAAAATTGCTGATTCTGCTGAGCCGGGAGTTGAGGCATCACGTGTAGAGGAAGATTTACTGCATACTCCGAAAATTGACAACGCACAGGAAGCGCTTAAGTTGAGTTCCTTGGAGTTGCGTGCAGGGGTGAAGGACCCTCTCCCTGAGGCACTGGAACTAGCTGAGACTCTGATGTCCTTGGGCAGGGATAGTAGTGCTCAGCAACCTGCAGAAAATGAAAACGGAAGAGCCCCTCATCTTGTGGTTGATAGTAATGGAGTGGTTCAAGCTAATGGCGGGAATGAAGATGACCAGCTCATTGGTCTTCAAAATGCTGCACCCAAGCCAAGCATAATGGCTCGAAACAGCACTGCTCATACATTTGNATATATTTAGTATCACCCTGTACTGAAATATCTTGAAGATGACTTATGCAAAATGTTAAGGAAGACATTTTTGTACATATGATGCAAGATGGTCTGGTATAAATCGATCAACTACGTCTCTATCCTGAATTAGTTGGGTATGAGTTTTCTATATTCATCCTGCTATAATCAGATCAAATATTCAAAGGAGTCACTATTATTAGATCTGTACTGGCTGTCAACCTACTCAATCCTCATTTTTACTAGGCCAAAGTGGAATTATTATTTATTAATGAATTTATTTATAGTGATAAAGAAAATCCTTCGAGATTTCATGAATGTGACAATTGATAGCAGGGCCTTTATTTAGACTTGTGCTAGGCTACATTCCGATAAAGCGTTGTTGATTGATGTATCCATGAAGTGTGTTAGCTTTATTTTTCCCTGGACAAAGTTTTAGAATAGGATTTGCTTAAATGGAAACTTAAGGACATATGTTACCATATCCTTGGTTAAAGTTCAAGGAAGAGAAAGAAATAGAAGAAAAGCAGACTCCTAGTGATAACCCCTACCGATTTATAAGGTAGGGGTAAGGTCTACGTATACACTACGCTCTCCAGATCCCATTTATGGGATTACATTAGGTTTGTTGTTGTTGTTGTAGTAGTTGTCTGATGAACTCTGTATTAAACAAATACTAGCTGGAAATAGTAGTGTTTTCATGTATGATGCTGCTTATGACAAGAATTCTTCATATCCTCATAATGAAGATGGAAACTAAAAACAAATATCCTTCGTTTACTTACAGCTGTTAATCAGACTTGTCTTTTAATATCGTTCTCCTCTTTACATCATGCAAGGAGAACATTACTTTTACTCTCTCCGGTCTACAATTAGTGACCAATTTGCTTTTGGCACACCCATTATTCGGTTAAGAGTCTAATTTGCGCATCTACTATCATAAATAGGTCTTATTTATCCTCCGTTTAAGTTTTCTATCAAAAATATCCCTACAGTTATACATTAGGGTCATATTTACTCTTACACGTTAAAAACACCATCCCTTCTTTTAAAATCCACTCGGCATCTCCCTATTGGACTAACTGACCCACCCCATTTTTTTAATTTAGACCCGCCCGATCCCAGCAACAAACTACACCCATCTATTGGTTTGGTTTTGGTTTTGTATTTTAAAAATCCAATCAAATTTGGTTTGGTTTTGGTTTTAATAAAAAAATAACCGAAAAAATCGAACCAAACCAATTATAAAAGTAGTTATTAGAATTTATTATTACACGTATATATATGTATATTTTTATATAATGTTTCTAAAATTTTATGGTACATATTAGTCCGCCCCATTTTAGTCTAGTTCTTTATTGTTTGTTACTATAATAATCTAATTATTTGCCTTTACATTCTAGAAAAAAAAAAAGAACTGGACTAAAATGGGGCGGGTGAATCGATTTTTAATTACGCCAATGTTAATGAAATGTCAGGGAGAAACGTAAGTTTATCAGCCAAAAGTGAAAAATAAAAAGAGAATTGTTGTCCATTTTAGCAGTCAGATTTGGCATTTGTCTTCTTACGGAGACATATCTCAGTGTCATGAGTCAAATAGTTAGATTGTTATAACAACAAAGAACTAGACTAAAATGGGGCGGACTAATATGCACCATAAAAATTTAGAAACTTTATATAAATATTATATATATATATAGATTAATAAATTCAAATAACTACTTTTATAGTTGGTTTGGTTCGGTTTTTTCGGTTATTTTTTTATTAAAACCAAAACCAAACCAAATTTGATCGGATTTTTAAAATACAAAACCAAAACCAAACCAATGGATGGGTGTAGTTTTGTTGCTGGGATCGGGCGGGTTTGAATTAAAAAAATGGGGCGGGTCAGTTGGTCCAATAAGGGGATGCCAAGTGGATTTTAAAAGAAGGGATGGTGTTTTTAACGTGTAAGGGTAAATATGACCCTAATGTATAACTGTAGGAATATTTTTGATAGAAAACTTAAACGGAGGATAAATAAGACCTATTTATGATAGTAGAGGGGCAAATCAGACCCTTAACCGTTAAGGAAATACAAAATTCTAGACAAGAATAGTTAGTGTGACTAAACTACCCTTAATTAAATGTTGCAGCATAGTTAATGTGAGGAGTAAAAGATTTTTAGGGATACATACATAAGGGTAATGTTGGAAAAATAAATTGAATTTTTTCTTGATTATATAAATGAATACTTATTTTGGACCAAAATAAAAAAGCAAATTGGTCACTTATTGTGGACCGGAGGGAGTAGTAAATAAGCATGCAGGAAAGTTTTGGATAGTTCATGCGACATTATCAACCAGTTACTAACCAAGGGGGAAAGTAGTCTTTAAGTCTCATCTCCAAGTGAGTTTGGAGCGAAATCTCTTATTATTAAGCTAAACAATCTGTAAATTGATTACGTAATCCCTTGAACTTTTTCTTTTTAATTATGTAACCCTTCAACCTTCCAGATTTTCCTTGTAATGGCACTTGATCAAGCTAACAAGAACCTCATCCAACTCTTTAACTTGTTAACTTCTTCTCATTCTACCTCCTATAATCTGTATTGTATCTTCCTTGATTCTGCCCCAAACTAGCTTTGATGCATGAAACTCTGATTTATCCCTAGCTGCATGCTATAATTCATCATGGTGACTGAGGAACTGTAAGCATGATAACAACCTTTTTATTGTTCATTTTTTTGTCAATTCCTAGTATTTTCTATTGGGCTGGGAGAAGTTGGGCGGTGGGGTGGA